CGGCTGCGGCCACTCTTCTGCCACTGCGCAGCTGGCCCTCTCAAGGCTCTTGTCTGGGCGTTCGAAGTGGATAAGATTGCTGCTGGTGCACAGGTCTTGGCAGGACCCGTCTCTTATAACCCATAGTCCAGCGCTGGACTTCAACAGGAAGAGCCGCGGCAGCTTGCAGCACCTGAAGCAAGGGCTGTCTTTGTGCTGGCTGTGGTACTCGTAGCAGCCTGAGAGGTGTTTCAGCTGTTCTGGGAAGGTGAAGATGTACACCAAGGCCCCTGCACCGGAGGCAACTCTGTTTTTCACCTCTTGAGGTCTGGTCCGCAGCACGTGCAAGGGAGCGGTCTCAGACCCCAGTTGCCACTCCTTGAGGTCCTTTGAGGTCGCGATGGGCACCTTCAAATTCTTTGCCAAACCTAGAAATTTGAGCTGCCGTACTGTGTCTGGCCCTTTGCCTCCAGTGGCATCTCAGGGTTTGGGCTTAGGAGTGCGCCCGCACGCGCCGGGGCATGGCGGGGTCAGCCGCGAAAGAGTCAGCCGCGAGCTTAGGCTGAGGGCAACTCCCGCGAGTGCGGCGTGAGCGCAGCATCAATTTTGAAGGGGCCGCAACTATTGCAAGACAGCAGGAGCCGAAAGGGGCTGTGTTTGGGGCTCTGTTTGTCGTGTGACTGCGATCCTTCACCTGTCTGCCACTGCAACAGTGACACTCATACAAGCAAGGCTTCGAGTCGCAAACATGCCGGGGATGACGAAGGCCGACACGGCTTGTCATGCAGCAGACTCCAGTGGTCGATCACAACATAATTCACGTGGCCATAGGGCACATGCGCATGCCCTTGCAAAAGCAGGAGACACTGCTTAGAACCAAGATGCGGAAGCATCCAGCATGCAGACATGATCGGCGAACTGCAGTGGAAAGGAAGCAGGAATGCTGGGGAGCAACCTGTTTATTAGGCTTGGAGGCTGGGGCCACCAACTCATGCTCCAGCAGTCTAGCTTCCGTTGTGCTGTAACCAGGCGGCACTGTGCAATGGCACTCCAGGTGCAGAAAACACACACCTGTTCGTGTCGAAGGTCTGGTAGTAGTGTTGGCAAAACCTGAGTCATCCAGACTGCCCGACTTCACTGTTCATCGGACATCTCGTGGTAGTACACCGACTATTCGAGGAAAGGGCTGCTCACCTATCTGCTGGAATGCCATCAGTGCCTGCAGCTTCGAACCGCAGACTCAGCTTAATGCAGTTTCGCTCGGTCAGTGCCAAACTGGACTAAGACAATAGCTGCGACATTCACTTCATATCGTGACTGGATCTTCTTGCCTTGCACAAGGCCTCTGCGCAGCTCTCTCAGCACAGGCGGCTTGGACGCCAGGAGCTGTGCACTTTGAACCGAGGGAATCCCGAATTGCTCAAGGTCAAGAAGCGTGGTATGCACAGCAGCGCTAAAGGCAGCCGCCCCGGGCACCAGCAAGGCCCCGACAAGCACAGCCGTGTCATTTTGCTGCAGCTTCCACTTTCGGGAGCGCGCAGACGGCGCAGGCCCACGAGGCGCGGCCCAGGTCATGGCGTCTGCTGCACAAGCTTTCGGCAGCGCTCCTCGGGGTCGCAAACGAAACTTGGAGACCCGCGGCCGCCTTGTTTTCCGGGCGTAGGTTCGATGCCATTCGGGAGCTTTGCTGCAGTCGCTTCCTTGGTCTAGCGTTGACAAGCCGGTCTGTTGGCTTTTGGGAACCACTGTCTCAGGCGGCAACCTTTTCCCCACCAGTGCTGCCACACGCAATGCTTTCTTGTGGAAACCCTGCTCTAAGACCTCAAACGAAGGACGTACTCAACAATGGCCCTGCAACGCCTGCCATGCTCTCGCATGCTAGGCACCAAGCAGGTTTGGCCATGAGGGAACTTCTCCTAGCGTTGTGGCCAGGGTCCCGATCCCGACATCGCAAAGCAAAACACGTCAAGCTGCGAGCAGATGCTTTGACACTTGGTACACCCAACCACGGAATGCAACCCAACCCCAACTCTCAAGTACTTTAACTCTCAAGCCTAAACTGCATGTCCAAAGAATTGCTCAACTTCTTCTTAGCTAGATGGGAGTGTGCTTGCAGCACCTGGCTGAGACCTCGATCTTGTCGTGATCCGTCCTGTACTCCACGGCTTTCGCCTTTCAGGTGCACAGAGGCAAAAGATGCGCCCCCAACGGTATCATCTCGGGACCTGAAGGCGGTCTTCATCGGAGGTAGGAGCCAGTGGCACTCCAAAGTTCGGCTTGCCCGCGAGCCGCTCCACCTAGTCTGTTGGTGTTGTAAGTCAGAATAAGAACATGCAACCCTCGAAGACACCTCCGCTTGCCTTTCTTCCTCCTTCCGTCGAAGTCGATGTGCTTTCCGCAAAACACTGTTCCTTTGTTGCCAACCAAACAATCAGATATGTCCGACTGCTTGCCACAGCAACTACTCAGAAGGAGATCGCTTGACGCAAATGGCACGGCAAGATCGATATCTACATGTGCTGTGCCACAGCTCCATCCGTAGGAATCCTCGCGCTCGTCTTGGAGGTCCTGCGCAAGTACTTCAGAATTTCGAACCCATCCATTTTCGTTTACAGTGGTCGCGTAAAAAACCTGAGGTATCAACCACACAAACATCATCAGAAATGCATGCGGATGGGGTGGGAAGTCCGCGATGAAACGTTAAAAGCTCTCAATAAGCCACGGCTGACATACATCAGAACCTGCTGCGGTGCCCCTTTCACGATTGGCTTTCCCTCGGACTGTCTGCAAGCTCCCGCTGCTGAGAAATACCCTGTTGAGCGAGATACTAAGCCTAAAGCCGCTCACGGTCCCACACACGATGCAGAGTCTGAAGTCCGATGACCCCACCGCACTTCGCTCATGGTTGTTTCTTGTATGCTAGCTTCGACAGCCCAGGACACGACCTGATCTCCTTCCACACACATGACACCTCTTAGTGATTCGCTGATTCGGGAATCTGAGCCAATGTGTGAATGCATGCATGCGGCGATTGCAGGTGTGTGCACTGGAGGCAGGACAGTTTTCTACCTTGCAAAGGTGCAATACTTTGTCTTCAGGTACGGCTCCACAAGGACATGTTGATATGCCTGGCCACTGGAGATGTACCGGCACAAAGTGACTTGTTGCTTTGCCCTGCGAGTTCTGGCCAGGCAACGTCTCGCTCAGAACAACCGCAGGTGGACAACAAGGTCTGTGCTAAACGGCG